CCCTGAAGTTCACACAAGCACAAGTGGGAGAGCAACTTGCCAAATCGGCTAGGAGAAAGGCCTTGAGTTCGGCAAATCAGCAGAGAAGGCCCTGCACCCTGCTCCTGCGCACATGTGTGTTGTCACTTCAATGAGGTGATGCTATGAAGTTGAGCAACTTAACTGAGAGTCGAGGGCAAGGCTACATGAAGGAGCTAGCAGATTTCAATCCGGCTTCAGGAGTTTACCCCGAGCCCCGGACCCTTCGTGGGCACTGTTTGGCGGATGCACACCCAGAGACATTCTGTACCGGCTTTAAACGTCTCAGACCCTGCCGGGAGCTTGACCCTGGGCCTGCTAGATAGAGCAGCTTCGAACACGACAAGATGAGCAGTACCCTGAACGACGAATCTTTCCATCTTTCCTTGTGCACTTGAGCACGATCAATCTGCAGAGCTGCATCCGCACCTAGATCGCAGCAGGTCCTAGCACCTGGACACCGACAATCCTGAAGCCCTGCGCCCGCACCACCAGGTCAAGCGCGAGCTGGGCCAAAGGGAGCTGAGGTCTTTGAAGGTCATCCACCAGGACCAGGAGAGTGGGAAGCTCAGAGTCGTCGCAGTAGTCCCCTCTACGAAAAACTACTCATAATCAAAAAAGCAGCCGCGTATGTACAAGGCCTGGCCTGGTACATCATGAAAAGGGAGGCGGAGCTCAAGAAGCTGGAGGAGAGCAAGGCACTGGACACATCGGCCTGTTTAAGATGTGTGGATTCCATCTTGGCATGGAGATGTTCGCGAGTCTGTAAGCTTCGGCGGAGCACTGCTGACAGAATATTCAGCTCAGTGTTGGATGGGGATCACATTTTTCAAAGCTGGTGTGGTTTTGGGTGACAGCTGCTAAGACTGCCTGCTGCTGCTGTTGCAATCAATGACCATCGACGGCAACTGCACGATCAACATGCATGCAGCACTTAATCTTTTCCAACTTATTCAATGACTGCTAGTTTGCTTTACTTCCTGTCTGCTCCTGAAGGCACGTACTCCCATCATTTCATCGAGTATGATTCTCGCGACTTCTTGCCAGTGCAGTGCCAATGCATCTACTATGCTGAAGCCTGTATGACCGTGGGTGGGAAAGTATGCCTGTGCGCAGTTGGTGAAGCAAGACCGCTACGAAAAGATGGTGAATGCGGCGCAGAGCCTGGTCAGCGGCCAGGCTTGGGAGTCTCGTGGGTAGTGGGTGCGGCTCTGCTGCTTGTGTGTTAGGTCTGTAAGCTGTAGTTTTTTCCAGCGGTGTGCAGGATTGGGAATGTAGTAGCAGACGAAAGTGCCAAGACGCACGCATTCCAGCCTCCTTCCTTTCCCATTTGCAGGGCGAGGAGGAGGAAGACGAGGGCCAGTAGGCTTGTTTTTTGGCGCAAGCCGCCAATTGTACATACCACATGGCCAGTTCAGAGACCCCTCGACTCTGAATCCGAAGTCACGGCATGTCACACAGGCCCTGTGCCAGAGCTCGCGAGACTCTCACTGTAAGTTGCAATGCTTCCTGACCCTTGGACCTGCAAAGTTGTCGCCGAGCGTGCTAGGGCCAGAAGTAGCTTCAGCGCAGCTGACACAAGAGCGGCCTGAACGCAGAAAAATGGCGTTTCACGGATCCGGCATAGGGTGTGGACAGTGGAGGGCAACCAGATCGAGACATTGCCTGCTGAAGTCTGCCAACCAGTCCCTCGATTATCCGCATGGCATGAGTCTTTCAAGAAGCTCAGCAAGTTTCGGTGCAAATGCCGCCGACATCATGCGCAGAGGGCTGAAAATGACGTGTGCTGAAGCAGCCGATGCTCCAAAGCAGGGCTGTCTTCTGCCAGTTAAACTTGCATGTTGCTACAGTGTGCGATACTGCTTGTAGATGTGCATTAGTTGAAAGTTTCGTAGGAGGGGGGAGACGTACAACGGATCCCGTCTGTAAGGGGATGGACTCTAACGCTCCGTGACAGTCTCTCGTGGTCAATCTGCCACGAGGTTTGCGGTCAGGAGCCTTTCGGGCCCAGTGCCGGATATTCTGACTTCCGTTGCACGATCTGAGCCGATGTTTGTGCGTCTTTGAGCTTGTTTTTCTCTTCGCGCACGAATGTCTCCGTGTGTGTGTGTGTGTGGGTGGGTGGCTGTGCACCTTAAAGCACTATGCACAGTGCTTCCAGCTTGGCATAGGTATGGGTGTAACAATCATGATCAATAATACTTTGGAGTAGTTTGATCTTGTCACGTTTTCCTGGCCAAAGTAATCATATGGTCAATGAGTGCAAAGGAGCAGTTCAAGTTGACATAGTTCTTCAGTTTGCATACATCACTTGATTTCACTAAACCAACCTATCGCAGGCTGAAGCGGCACATTCTTCAATGAATTTAATGCTTCTTTTGCTTTGGTCTGACTCACGTCAAGGAATCACACCCATCACAAGCGAATCGAATATGTGATCCATAGCAATCTTGAGTGGTCACGTCTAGATTGAAATGCTCCAGTAGTTCCAGTTCTTTCAATTTTTCAATTCTCACAAGCTGTTGCTTACATTGAACATGCACACTGGGATTGACCCCCCGTTACCAGTGTATCCTAGAGTCTAACATCATCAAGTGTTCGCCGACGCATCTTCACTAATCGCCCTTTCTCAAATCACCCACCCGAGCACGTCATGCCAAATAGCAGGCGAGATAAACGAGCATGCTTCATGCGGTCAAGCTGTTCTTCATTGACTGTTCAAACCAGTGTAGATCAACTGGAGTTACGTGGTATTAATGCCGTTCAATCGCCCTGCAGTTTGCAGTTTTGCCAGGTCTTATCCATCTAAATTCAGAATCGACTTCAAAATTAAACAGCATTGTAAACAAAGTTGTAAGTCAGCGTTCAATCGATCATGTCTAAGAGGCGATGCCTTCGAACCTTTGAGCGAGCATGCCTGCGCACGCTCATTTCCCGCCTTTGGGCTAGCACTCAGATGACATCCTCGGACTGATGTAGTTGACCTTTATACATGCACGATTTTCTCTGTGCTCAATTTTTCTCCACCGCTGTCTGTTTACATGCGTGGTCAGCAAGACGGGGAATCGAGTGGCAACCAAAGGGTGCAGTGGTCGTCTCCTCACTCTTCTCATGCCATACTGTATCACCGGTGACAAAGCCAAATCCACTTCGATTGGGCTTCATGTAATTTGTCGACCCTTCTCCATGAAGGTTATGAGTTTACAGGTTTCTATATCGCAAGCCACATCAGGATAGAATGGGTGGGTACATGGAGGCAAGCATGTGTATCTACATTGTATGTGTCTCCTAATTATCGGTCTGGTAGGTAGGGATTAGGAGGTCAGTTTACAGATCGTAAGAACAGCCGCGATCTGATCTTTCCGTGGCCAGGTTGGCATCGCCGGCGTGGGAAAGATTAGATCTTCGACCAGCAATGTCGTTCCCCGCAGCCGGCCCTCTCGCGGCCCAGAAGCTCAGCCTCAGACTCCTTCGAAGGACGTCGCGGAGACCTTCCAGCGGACGAAGACGGAGATCACGACCGACGGCCTGAACCATCCCTCGTTGGCCGTTCGGATGATAGCTCCGTGGTACAATTCGTCCCGGGCAGAGATCGCCGAGGACGTGGGCACCTTCACAGATTCCTGCCCGCTCGATGGAGGAGGTGATTTCCACGTCAGGGCTCGTTCGAAGCTGCACGTCAACCACCTCCAGTCCGTGAGGCAGGAAGCTTTGGCGCGAAGCTCGCACTGGCCCGCCCACGATCATGGAAGAGGCGGCCCGGCAGGCACCTTTTCTTCGGCGATCGTCGACGTTATTTCAGCGATCGAGGCCATGCTCTTCACAAGGATGAACAGCAGCTCTAACATGCTCTAACAACGGCAACGGTGTTCTTCGCCGCGGGCGTGCGAGGGAGGCTGATCCTGCCCCGGTCGGGTCTCCTCGGCTGCACGAAACTGATGACGCCGCTGTCGAGGTCCAGCAACCCGAGCCTTTTCCCGAAGATCCGATCCAAGATGTGTCGGCCACCTCGCCGGATCCGATCGAAGATTTTTCTCCGGCGGTCGATGCCTAGTTCTGTTCTGGGCGCTGGGAATATCTCTTCTGATGTTTTCGGTCGGATGAATGTGGAGCGATCGCCAGCTTCTCTGGTGCGCCCCTCCGGCGATCGGAACATCCGGTCGGAATGGGTCGGAATGATGAAGATCAGAGATGTTCGAGTTTTGATTTGTGGACGATTCCCACGTTGCGGTCGCACAAAGAAGTCTTGCCCGTGCGACTTTAGGGCTGTTCAGCGAACGTATATATCATATCACATATATATATATACATACACACACATGTGCATGTATGTATGTATGTATGTATGTATGTAAGTATGATACATGGAACTGTAAGTGCAAACCTTTCAGGGCGAAGTCTTGCATCTTTCCGAAAGCAGACTTCGAAGAATCACAGCTGCCGACCTGCTATTTTGGCTCCAGTAATTCATTGGTTGATTGCTTAAGGTCTCCCAGCAGCAGACTTCAGACGACTGCTGGGTCCCAGTGTTTGTTTTCAAAGCGTTCAGTGGAGCTCATCGACTGGTCACATCTTTCCATGAGTCCCACAACACACGCCGACACAACGGACTGGCGAATAGTACAACAAGGGCGTGCGGAGGATTTCGGCAGGTTTCGTTGCGCGCCGGCTGGCCGGCTTTGCATTCTCACGCAGCCCGGCAGCGAGTGCTGGCATGAGTTGACATGCTGAAGTACGGTGTTAACTGGCAACCTTGCACCGGAAGCCGTGTCCGGCGTTAGAGGAAGATCAACTTCAGCATTGAATTTCGACATTTGGGATGAGGCTTGAGGTTATCAGGTTCAGCGACTTGAATTGCAGAAAGAGGCCGTGCCAATGCCCTTTCGCCTGCTACATGTTGCCCTGGCTACCGTCCACACAGCTTCCAAAGTCCCGAAAACGCGGACCTAGACTCAAAGCATGGGAATGCAAGGATTGGCCCAATGGCATTCTTCCTCCACCTGTCGGGTCCTTACATTGTCAAGTCGCAGACAATAGCGGGAAGTCTTCCGTCGCAAGAGGGTTGCAAGCATCTGTTCAAGGGTTAAAGGGAGTAGTTGTGTCAGTTACGACGGTTACGAGGTTCGCCAGCAATGTGCCAGAGCATGTTGAGGAAGAAGTCCGACAGACTGGCAAGGACAAGCGATTGCTCATGCGTTGCCACACAGCCTTAGCTTGAAAGCTCGTTGACCTGAGAGAAGAATTGCCCACGATGTCAAAGCGAGTTTAGGGGTTTTGGGATTTAGGGCTTTAGGGCTTCAGGGTTAGGTTTGATCTCTGGGACTCTAGGGTTGCGAACTCCGGATCCCCTCACGAGGGCTTCTGCTGCACAGAATGCTTCTTTCAACTGCCAGGGCAAGCTGGAGGTTCTGTATGGGAGCGCCATGCAGGCAAACAAGGCGGGGCATTTTTGGGGCATCTTTCGGAAGTTCTGGAAGGCGGTGGTTCCTCAGCTTCCTACTCCAAATCATGACCTCTGATTGCTCAGTCCCTGGATCCTCAGCAACCTTCGCATTTCTTTTGCGCTTTTACCTTGGCAACCGGCCAGGCTGCCCTGGAGGCCGAGGCAGAGAAAGGCCTGCACTCGCCAGCCTCGCCGCTGGATCCGCAGGCGTGAGCTGCCAAGCGCTGCACGTGGCACGTCATGTCGCCGGCTGCTCGCGCTCATACCACCTGTCCACAGTTCTCTGCGGTGCAGTGTTTGGACTGTGCGATCAGGGCACGGCAGTGTCCTCACCGGAGAAGGAGGCAGCCCCTCCACCACAGGAGCCACTGACGGCGCGCGCCTTTTTCCGATTCACGCTGCGTCGCGCTGAAGTGCTGCGCAGCGTCTCACGGAAGGAGCCCGAGCTGATGCCCCGGCGACGGCGGCGCCGGTCAAGTGATATGCACCTCCCCGAGGGCCGGAGCCAAAGATGCAGGCTCCATAGGCAAAAGGCACCCGGCTACACACTCCCTGCTCTCCATTTCAAAGGCACCCGGCTACACACTCCCTGCTCTCCATTTCGTCTCCTGAGTTTACTCATTGAAGTTTGCAGTTTGGCTTTTGGTCTTCCCGGTTGTTTTGAACAGTTTCAAGCGCTGAGCCGTGCAAGGGAATGCAGATCTGCAGACAGTATGGTGCAAACCTGGTTTCGGTAGAAGTGGCTGCGTTCATAGACAAGCAGCTTCGCAGTTGGCGGCGGCGGCGGCGGCATAGGGCGTCAGACACCCTATAGAGTAGACCGAAGCTCTGGACACTTCAGGTTTGTTCTGCTTGCTTTTGATACACTTGACACAAATTAAAATCAATCCTCGGAACGTGTGTTTAACTGTTTATTTTTATTTGTCTTTCTGTGTGTGTGTGTGTGCGTGTGTTTGGATTTTCCTACTTCGTGGAAGGAAAAAATCGCTGCTGCATTTGTTCACTTTTTCGTATTGAGGGATCCATCATCTGTTTTCCACGCGCCATACCTAGTGTTGGGCATATGTTGTACCACAAGTTTGATTCATGAAAGTTGCCCACCAGCAGCTTCAGCGCGATCTCGTTCACCTTGTCACGTCGTGCCGTTACCCAGATCATGCGGTCCAGCGGCTCAACAGCAATACGATACGAGGTTACTGTAATTTACTGTACGAGTTGTGCGAATTGTGTTGTGCCGCAACGGCTGAGTCTACATCGCAGCATCGCCGGTGGATGCGTCTTCACCGGCCTCTCAGCTGCAGCGATCCCGACCGAGCCGATTGTGGGACGTCAATCTTCCTGGCCCGGAAGTTGCGGCAATGCAGAACCCTTTGAATATCATGCAAGTGCTTGAGCCGTGCCCTTTAGAGGACCTTGAGACTTGTAGGAGAAGCGGGGGGCAGTGCGCCATGGTGTGTTCCCAGGGCGCGGAGGAGCCGGAGCTGGATTACTTTTCGAAGACCAACCCTGACTGTGGCTCGGCAATGAAGTGCTCGGAGCATCTCGGAGACTAAGCCATATATTATATTATATTATATTA